CAGTGCATAACTATAAAAACCATGCAATCCTTATTTTAAAACCTACTTTCCTAATGAATTGTACTGATTTGCTTGAAATTACTAGACTGGAAAAAGAAAAAAGAAATTGTGGTGTGATTCTCTCTTACAGCAGAAATATTATTTTATGACTTATGACTGTTGTGTATAATGTTTATTTCAAAATAAAGATGATATTCCTGCCCAATTGTAGAAGTGTGCATAGAATCATCAAACTTTAAAAAGAAATTAACAGTACTTACCACTGTGAAAAACAGATTCACCACAAACCTCAAAATCTCAGAAGGAAGCTCAAGATTCTGTGGACTCAGATAATACTTTCATCCATGGAAGTACTTTTTAGTCATGGAAGAGGATCATGAAGGGAAAGATGTGTTATGGTTGAAATAAAAAGAGAAATTATTTTGGGATTACTCCTTCTATGACAGGTTCATTTTCCCCATTTCTATAATCCCATCTATTTAAGAAAACTATTCCCTTCTCCCTACCATTCTTTCTTTGCTGAAAAGAAATAAAGTTGCTTAGCTTGGCAGGGGTAGAATGAAATGGACTAGAAGCAGTGGAGATTCAGCTTCATTGAATTGTTTAAGACATTTTTTGTCAACGTTTAGTCCAAGGATAGCTGGGGTTCTCCAAGACCTTCTTAGGTGTGTGTGAAATGAAAATTATTTGTAAGCCTATGCTGAAAAATAATTCAATATTAAAATCTCACCAAATAGTTGTGAAAAGCAGTAGTGATAGGAATGTGAATTTTAATTTTTAAAATGGTAAATATCAATAAATATAACACATACAAACAAAAATTCTTTGTAGTTCTCCTTAATTTTTAAATGTGGAAAAGGATCCTGAGAAGAAAATGTTTAAGAAACCCTGGTATAAGCAATAGCGATAGCACTTAGACTTATATGCCTCTTCACAGTGCATTACAGCCCTCTCTAAGCGGTTTACAGTCAGCATATTGCCCCCAACAATTTTACTGACCTCGGAAGGATGGAAGGCTAAGTCAACCTTGAGCTGGTGAGAATCGAACTGCTGAACTGCGCCATCACAGCTCTTCGTATGGTAAACAAAACCTGATAAAGAAGAGCCAGCCACGTAATTGAGCAAAATGGCAGAGATTTCACAGTCAATCAAGGGTACTCGCCTAACCCCTTCAACATTCCTCCACTCCTTAAGAAGAGACCGTGGCTATTCCAGTTGTCACTTCTAAAAAGTGCAGTTTTCCTTAACAATAAAACAGTTCTGCTTACATAATAAACTTACTGATTTTACTTCACGATCCTAAAATCAGAACTAATCACAGCTCTAGAATTTCCTGTTCTATAAATCAAAGTTCTGGTAAAATCTTATCTTTCTATTCTTATCTGTTCCTCTTCTTCTGTAAATTGGAATCCAGTGGTGGGATTCATCTGGTTCGCACCACTTCAGCAGAACCGGTAGCTAATTTTTTGTTGTCCAGGCCCAGAATGGACTTTTGGAAGCAGCATCCACACAGAGAACTGGTTGTTCACATATTTGAATCCCACCACTGTTGGAACCCAATGATCATTGTCCTGATAAAGTGTGTGACTTGTGTTCCAGTTTTCACCATCCATGACAGAAGAAGACTGAAATTTGCTGATGTGCTAAAAAAATGGCATCAGTGAAAAATATATGATTTAGGGACCCATGCTTTAAAATATCTAGAACAGCCTTTCTAAGTCTTTTTATGCTGGAGGAACCCTTAAAATATTTTTCAAGTCTCAGGGACTCTTTGCATAAAAATACAAGAACTACAATAAATTACCGTATATGCCAGCGTATAAGGCGACTTCCGCAAGCGTTAAAGTCAGCGCCAAAGACGGGGGTCGTCTTATACGCCGAGTCGTCTTATACTCCGGAAATACTGGTAGTTTCCAGCGTATAAGATGACGTTTTAGGAATGCGACTCGGTGACAAAGACGGGGGTCGTCTTATACACTGAGTCGCCTTGTACGCCGGCATATACGGTACAATTGATTTCTATGCTACACAATTCATATTTTATAACAGCAAAGTGGTAAGCTGGAAGTTGAGTATGTGACCTATAAAAATTCCCACCATGTGAGCATTAGTATTTTCTGCCATAATCTCTAACTGAAGCCCTAGCAACTTCTTGCAGAACTGCAACCGAATCTGAACTGATAACAAGCATACATTGTTTGAAGACTTTTGTTAAGTGCCAATCTCTCAATAAGAACTGCAAATATTGTACAAGGTACACTAATACCTTAACTTGTGACAATAATCAAGTCTGGAATGATGGTCATAAGTTGTGCCAGTTAAGTAGGTTACCATGTGACCATGCCTAATTGTATAACCTTTTTGCAGTTAAGTGAACATGATAGTTATTAAATGAATGTGTCAGAGCATGCACAGTCTTATTGTGCTGAGATAATCCAGGAGTAAACACAGTAAACAGTGCTCTATATTAAATGGTGGTTTATATTACACTGTCTACAATATACACCAGGAACAATATACATACATGTGGTAATACAGCAAACTCCAACACACAGCAGTTACAGCAGGAAAACGGATGAGAGAGAAATACTCCAGCAAAAGCCTTCCCTTTTATACTCTTAAAGGGACACAGACTCCTGCTGAGTCGTTCCTATCATTGCATCATCCACCTTAAGTTACATTACATAATTACATAAGCTGTTTAGCTATTAAATTATTACCTTGACAAAATGGTTGTTAAGTAAATCCATCATCCACAATAGGAATTTTTTGTGGAAGACTGGAAGTAAACACTGGCTTCTGGAAAAAAAATCATCATTCATGGCCCTGTGACTATGGAATGCTGCAAACTGCTGTAAATGCAGGCTGGTTGCCAAGCACCCAAAATATGATCACATGACTGTGGGGGCCTCAAGCTGTTGGAACTTTGAATCTAGGTTGTAAGTAGTCCAGGGGAAATCTGTCCTAATTTCAATTGGTCGCTAACTGACCGGTGGTAAGTTGAGGACTACCTGTATCTCACCCTGTCCCTGATTGTTATTAATAGCTCAAGCTCTAGACTGCCAAAACCCACCAAAAGGTTCCTTCCTTCACTTTTTCTGTGATATCCTTTCTTTATTTCAGCAGTTCCCAATCTTTCTGGTTCTGTGATTGGCAATAGCAGCGGTGGGGGTAGTAGCAGTGGTAATAATAATAATAATAATAATAATAATAATAATAATAATAATAATAATAATAATAATAATAATAGTAGTAGTAGTAGTTGTAGTAGTAGTAGTAGTAATAATAATAATAAAGTTGGAAGGGACCTTGGAGGTCATCTAGTCCAACCCCCTGCTCAGGCAGGAAACCCTATACCATTTCCGACAAATGGCTGTCCAATTTCTTCTTAAAAACTTCCAGTGTTGGAGCATTCACAGCTTCTGGAGACAGGTTGTTCCACTGATTAATTGTTCTAACTGTCAGGAAGTTTCTCCTTAGTTCTAGGTTGCTTCTCTCTTTAGTTAGTTTCCATCCCTTGCTTCTTGTCCTGCCTTCAGGCGCTTTGGAGAATAGCTTGACTCCCTCTTCTTTGTGGCAATCCCTGAGATATTAGAACACTGCTATCATGTCCCCCCTCGTCCTTCTCTTCATTAAACTAGACATACCCAATTCCAGCAACTATTCCTTGTAAGTTTTAGCGTCCAGTCCCCTAATCATCTTGGTTGCTCTTCTCTGTACTTTTTCTAGAATCTCAACATCTTTTTTACATTGTGGTGACCAAAACTGGATGCAGTATTCCAAGTGTGGCCTTACCAAGGCATTGTAAAGTGGTATTAATACTTCATGTGATCTTGATTTTATCCCTCTGTTAATGTAAGCGGAGAGGGGATGGTTTGTGTGTGTGCCTGCCGCTTGTGCAAATGGAGCTTTGTACGCTCATGTACTTGCCCACTACCTGCATGGCCTGGTTCCCAACACGCCACGGCCCAGGACCAGGATGTGGCTCTGGGCTTGGGGATTCCTGCTTTATTTATATTGCTCTATTGATTTAAACTTTACCAATGTACAAGAAATGTATAAAATTTGTATCAAAATACTGTAGATGCAGCAAAGTAAGGAGAGAGATTTCTATGTTACACTTCTCCCAATTCTGGAATTTTAAAAATGTCATTGCCTTTCATCCTGTCTGCAAATTTCTTTAACCAGATTGGTTTTTTAAATGTGGATGTTTAAATTTCAATAAAAATTAATATTAAAATAGATTGTCAGATGCAGCACAGAGAATGGTTCTGAAAATTATGAAGGTAAGAAAGACCTTTGATGTGGAAATGGAATGAATGATTATAAATGATTATACACAAGTAGAAAGTAAATGACTTTGGGTGCCTTGATAAAATGTCCTTTCATAAGAAATAAGGTGGAGTTCAGTTGTGCTTTATTTTATAACTTGCATTCTAGTCCAGAAAGAATTTTTCCCCTCCCATTGATTAGGAAAAAGTATGCTAAGATACCCAGTGAAATAATTAGTGGTGTGCTATCAGTTCATAATATTTATGTAGTAGTCAGATGGCTTTATTTGCAGTTGCTGTCAAGATTAGGATAAACTCGTTAAGAATAATACTTGAACTGTGATTATTTTAATTAATGTGGAAATTATATGGTAGCATGCGTAGTCTTGTGGTGTTTTAATCAATTTGAAAGTCATATGGTAAGTTGTATTGATCCACAATATAATATTCCAGGCCACTTGCTCTATTGTAGATATTAGAATTATGAACTGGATTGATCTTGGCTACTGTTGGAATAATACAAACTGAGCTGCTTCAATTCTCAGTTAAATGCTCTTTCCATTGGTTAACTCTTCTGAGTTAGGCAGAGGGATATTTTAAATATATATTTTTCTTACTCCTGACTGTAATGTAGTGCCCTAGCCTGAGCTTTATTGCCCAAAAATGAGGAGTCAAAACTTCTTAATTCCCAGACAAGCCAACCTTCCCAATGTCAATTTATTTGGAAAATGCTGAATCACATGATAAGGCAGAAGCTCCTAAAAATGCTGGATCAATCCAAAGACTGCATTGCTTACATAGAAGGCATGTTGAGAGATAAATGGATGGGTTGCAGATTTCATATCCCTCCCTCTTTGAAGTGAACAGTGTCACTTTGGATTGATAGGATTTTGTGGATCTTCAGAATCTCTCCTTCAAATCAGTGCTTTGGATCCAAACCATTATGACCTATCACAGATAAACAAAAACTGATTTTAGGATTCTAGGACAAACTGAATATTATGTCCTTAAATATGACTTGTAAGAGGAAGTATCATTTCCAGTAATTTAGAAGTATAGATAGGTAACAGAAATATAAATAATCAAGCGGGGGAAGGACTGCATGAACTAAGTTAAGGCAAAATATGCTGGGGGAGGCTTGAAAAAAGATAAGCTTTTTAGGAAAAACAAAACAAAAACCCAAAATACAGATAATTCCTGTGCAAAACAAGGTAGCGGATTAAAATTCAACGCATAACATTTCCAAAAGAATGCTGATTGAAAGGAATAAGTTTAGAGTTGAGGTTTTGTGCATTTTCTGTAAATTGTTCTGCAAAAAACATCTGTTTTGAAAGTGGCATATCAATCCTTAAATAAAAAAATGAAAGAATTATGGAAAAGATGCTTTAAATGTTGAATTCTAGGAGAAGCCATCACTTCCCAGTAGAGCACATGAATGATGCCTCCAGCATGATTCTAGTTCCTTATAACTTACAACACTTGGTTTAATGATCATTCAAAGTTACAATGGCATGGAAAAAAAGACATGACCATTTTTCACACTTATGACTGTTGCATCATCCGTATGGTCATGTGAACAAAATTCAGAGACTTGGCAACTCATATTTATGATGGTTGCAGTGTCTTGGGGTCATGTGATTACCTCTTGTGACCATCTGACAAGCAAATGGGGAAGGGAGTTTCACTTAACAACCATGTTGGTAATTAAACTTATGTGATTCACTTAACGAATGTGGCAAGAAAGGTCATACCTCACTTACTAAATGTCTCACTTAACAACAGAAATATTGGGCTCAATTGTGGTCATACATTGAGGGTTACCTGTATGGTTACTTTAAAGAATCTTAGCAGGACATACATTACAATTCTTTCTTTGAAACCTTAAGAGCATAAGCTAGAGCGTATAGATTGCTTCATATGTGATATATTTCATTTTTCTGCTAGGAAGCATAATCTTATTAACTGAGATGACAGAGGGGAGAGACACAGAGAGAGAAAATGCATGAAAGTTAGTACTTGTTTCTCTTACAATACATATGGCTATGTACTGGATTCTATGGCTACACCCTTTTCATGAAGAAGAGCCTTCTCTGCCGTGGCTCCTGCTCTTTGGACATCTTACCCCTCCAGAGTGAGATCTGTTCCTTCTGAGCTACCATAAAGACCTGAAAGCCTGGCTCTGTCCCTTGGCTTGGGACCCCAATGAGGGAGCGCCACCCTGAAGGTGGTTTTGATAGGCCAATAGCAGATCCCATCTCACTGCCTGCACACCTTGTTCCCTCCCTCTCCATCTTTATATTGTCTTATTATTTTATTACTATATTGTATATATTTATATTGTTTTATTGCTTTTAACTTTGTAAATCACCCAGAGTCACCTTGTGGTGAGATGAGTGCCAAATAAAATAAATAAATAAATACATCATGTCCATTTTTTTCTACTGTTTTCCCCAATATATGTGATCGAGCATACCTTTTTGTAATGTAAACATTTTTGTTGGAAATAAGGTATCACAACTTGAAACAGCCATGTGTGTATTCACTTTGTATTCAAATTCACATTTGAAACATGATTTAGATAACATTGTCTCATATTTCAAACTAACATGATTATCTTTCATTGCTAAATTTGATCTGAAGAAAGCTTAAGTCAGTTCTCTTGTCCTCCAAGTATTTTCAATTCTAAGCAATTTAGAATCTGGAGGGTTCCAATTGTTGTATATACTCTTGACTTAAGCAGTGAAGTTGTTTCTTATTTCGCATATCCTCCACAGATCAACAGAAATCATGCTTATCATACTCTTTTGATATTTATGACTAGGTTATCAGCTGGAGATACAGATAATTTCTTCTCCCCCTTTAATCACTTGAAATCTCACTGCATCTTATCCAAGAATGCCAAAAATCATCTGACCTCTTTTATGGAAGTTTGGGATTCCTATTAGACTTCAGGAAAGATCTTTTGAACATTACAAAATTGGACAAATTTAAACTGTTATAATGTTTAATGTATAGATTTGCCAGAATGATGACCATTATGATGCCAATTTCTGCTTTAGAACATGTGGTTACCGCAGTGGAAGGAACTTGTTCCATGAAAATGAACAGGGTCAGAACCATGGGGCATTTAGGATAGAACATTTTCCATGGTGGAGAATACGCAGCTTGATATAATTGTGCATTATGTGCTGTCTGTATTTTTTTTTAACATGTCCTGCGCTGACCTTGCAAGAGCAACGTATATCCTTGTGAACACTTGCTTGATTAATCGTCTCATTGATCACAAGGCTTTTGATAGGGCTGTCCTGTTGCTGGCAGCTGTTTTTGGAGTACTTGGCACACTTCCTCATTGATTTGTGCTATCATGATCATATTATGCTTGCCCAGCATTCTTTACAAAGGTGACGTATAAAGTGGTGGGTCAACATTAAATTGGCACTCCTGGATGTTAAAAAACCTTGAATTATGTTGACCCTGGCAACATTCAATGCTTGCTCATTCAGCCCCAAGCTAATAAAAATCTATATTCACATCACACCAGCCATTTTAAAGGCCTTGTAATGAATCATACTCTCTCTATATGCTAAACTTATGTTCTGTTACACATTTTTTTATTCTTAAGTTACTAACCTGTCTAGGAAAACATTTTAATATAAAATATTTAGCACCAAATATATCTTGTTCAGGGCAAAGGTTATCCCAGGCTTCTCACCCTGGGTCTCTCCAGTGATTTTTATTACAGGTCATTCTGATATTATATTACCATTCCCCTCATCTCCAGACAGCATTGTTGTTTCTGAAACATCCTGGAGTCTCAAGTAATGGATGGCTAGTCTTTTTCATCTAGCATTCTGATTCTCACAATGGTTGGTCAGAGTCCTCTGAAAATTCACCTGAAAGACATAAAGGCTATAATTCTCTTTTACTGTTCCTAGTGCCTGCTTTTTAGGAATATATTAGCTTTGTACATGGTGGCCATTTCTACCTGTTACAATGAATCATTACAATGAATTATCTAAACTAAACATGGCTATATGCTCTACGTGGATATGCTAAATTAATATGTGTCCTAACAGATTTGCTGCTATACTTTTCCTTATTCCTTGTTTGACAAATCTCCAAACTTTTTTAGAAATTCTGCAAAGTATGCTAAATGATATAGTTTTGGAGCTGAAGCCCCCAAAAACAATAATGGTGTAAAAATGTGCTATTACTGCTAGTCAATAACATATCAATTTTGCATTAATACATGCACATGCATATAAATACCTATCCCTCCCTCCCTCCCTCCCTCTGGTAAACATTGTTCTATTCCTAGAAAATACAACTTAACTACTTGGGAATCTTAAACCATGATCATTTTTATAATATTGTAGTGACTCCTCTCTTCTTAACTGAAGCTACTGTTTCAGAAGGAACTTCCCTCTTCACCAAATTTCAATTTCTAAGATTCTTCTTGAGATGCTACAACTGTAACTAAATTAATGATCGAACATAATTCTGTAAGTAGAGATACCTTGCAGCAAGGGACTGTTAACATGTCAATATTTGAGGACTTTCCCAGAAATACGATAAAAGGGTTTTTTTTTACAGTTTTTTAAAAACATAATTTATCAGACTTTCTTTCCCCATTATTATTTACTCCATTCTATTACATACACTTTTATTGATTAGTTCACTACAGTGACATCCATTAAAAATACTAATCTAAAACCCTAGCATGATTTGCAAATGCTAAATCAAATTCATGCCACAGTATGGCATAGTATAATGATTCAAAATGCTGCTATTAGCCCTTCTCTCATTTTGTTAGGTTTTATTTATTTATTTTTTTTTTGCCTTCTTCATTTTAGGGGTTTGTGTTTTTAGTGTGTTTCAATGATTTTCTTGCTTAAAATTTGATTTAAAAGTGGAATGAAATATTTTCATCTATGCATTTAATATATAAAAATAACCATCAGTCTGTGGGGAGAAGGGAGCAATAATAATGGCATTTTAAAAAGAAAGTGAATTTCCTCACTAGATTATGGTATGTATATGAGTTTAATTATTGTTGCCACTTTTTCTGATTGACTCAGTTCATCTCTGGTGTAAAACTTCAGAGTTTGGAGGTTTTTTTAAAAGACAAAGTGGTTTTAGATTTGACTTTATGTTTAATTTTTAAAAAGTTCTGCACTGATATAGCCTGGGCTACCATGCACTTAATTTGGGTTTATCTGGACATTGAAGGGATGAGAGTCATTAGCAGTTCTATCTCTAGCAACAGACAAAACCTATGTGCAGTTGTGCACTATGCAATAAAACCTGGGCAAACAGTCTTAAGAGTTTGCATTCATCTTCTTTTTTCTGCATAATATAAATTCCTGTTTAGCCTGCAAAATTAAAAATAGTTTTGGTCCTGTTCATCTTCTATATAGTTTTAAGAAGGAATCAGAATTGTCTCTAATGTCTGGGAATTACAGGGACCCAAAATTGTTGACATCAAGATAAAAAATAGGTGAAAGTTCAGTTGTTTTACCATACTTTTTTTTTTTAAAAAAAATCTTGATTCAGTTTACAGAAGTATTGCAATCTCCTAATGCCACATCCAGCATATTAACCCATTTATGATTACAGATAGCCAGAGGCACTACAAAGACATAAGATGAACCCAAATGCTTTAAAATAAATAACAACCCACAGACCAGGTTACTTGCTAATAGAGAATAATTCTAAGCTTTCTAATCTTCAAGGAAATGAAGGAAGAAAGAATATTAGTAGCAAGAACATCCTACTTTTTTGTATTATACAGTTCATCAGTTGGTAACTTTGGTAGTTATCTCAAACTTACCATTAATCCTCCTGAAGTCATGCACCACTTGACTGATTACCCTCTGGTTTATATTCTTACAGATCTGGTAGCTGTCAACTAAACAAATGGAAGATAACATTGTCTGGGTCTCTATAAATTCAATATTTTTAGTGCAATATTTTAACACCGAGCCTTATTATATACTGACACTCTCCATCTTTGTCTAAGCACTGTGCCATTTTAAAGACATTCATAATGGCTGTTTTCCCATATCTCACCCAATGGCTTGCATTTTAAGCAAGGGTTTGTTCATAGAAATGGATAGTAAGTAAGTAGAGTACCCAATCAGCAGTCATTTTTTCTGCTTTTAATTTATGGATTGCTAATTTCTCCCACCAGCTGTTGGGACCTTCCAGTGTTCCTTGATTTAACTTTTTTATGTCCCAAATATTATACAAGAAGCAAGAATTTCCAGCGTTTCCTTTTCAATCCATGTACTTATTACTTCAGATTTCTGCACATTTGCCTAGTGAGCTGCAAAATATTCCCCGTGTGGGACCCAGTTGCACAGGAATATTTGTTTCTGAAACTATTAAAAAATGCAGAGCAGGCTCGGTGTTATTTATCAAAAACAAACGGCACAACTTATAATCAATGGGGGTTTGTCAGAGGTGTTTACAATAGAGAAGGGGACTAGACAGGGTTGTCCACTGTCACCGTTGCTGTTTGTTTTAACTTTGGAAATATTGCTGATTAAAATTCGAGATTCACAGCAAATAAAAGGAATAGAAGTTAATAAAAAAGAATATAAACTAAGGGCTTTTGCAGATGATTTGGTGGTTACCTTATCTCAACCTACTTATTCTGTAATAGAGTTATTACAATTGATATATCAATATGGACGAGTTTCGGGTTTCAAAATTAATAATAATAAGACTAAAATATTGCCTAAAAATATGACTAATCTGGATAAGCAGATGTTGGTTAATCTGACAGATTTTGAGGTTGTTAATAAGGTAAAGTACCTGGGGGTTACTTTATCTGTTTCTAATGCAAAACTGTACAAAAATAATTATGAAAGGCTGTGGGTCAATATACAAAGAGACATGAAAAATTGGGAAAAGTTGCAATTATCTCTTTTGGGAAGAATTGCAGCGATTAAAATGAATGTGTTGCCAAAGTTTCTTTTTTTATTTCAAATGATACCCATTTTAAAGAATGAGGTTAACTTAGATGAATGGCAGAAAGGTATTAATAAATTTATCTGGGCAGGGAGGAAACCTAGAGTAAAACTTAAAATTATACAAGATATTCGTGAGAGAGGTGGACTCAAGGTACCGAATTTGAGGTTGTATTATGATGCTGTGGTTTTAACATTAATAAGTGATTGGGTTAATTTAACAAATGTGGAAATACTCCTCTTGGAGGGTTGGGATTTACTTTTTGGATGGCATGCCTATCTAATTTTTAATAAAAAGGTTGATAGGGCTTTTAAATCTCATATTATGAGGACTTCTTTACTTTGGGTTTGGAGGAAATATTATAGAAATGATTTTAAAATTCAATTATGGGCTATTCCATGGCATGCGATAGAAGGGATAAGGAGAGGGGTTAGGATGGATAGCGTTTCTTATGCACAATTACTTAGATGGGATGGTAAAAATTGGCACTTAAAATCTATGGAAGATTTAGCACAGGAAAATATTATATATTCATGGTTTCAGTATAGACAAATAGTGGATAGGTGGAAGATAGATCGGAAGGTGGGTTTGCTTAGAGAAGATGAGAATTTGTTTAAACAAATAAAATATCAAAGACGAACTCACATTAAGAGAATTTATGGGGTCCTAGTAGAATTGAACTCAGAAGCAGAGTTAGTCAAAGAATGTATGATCAAATGGGCACAAAACTTTGGTGAACCGGTTCTACTAGATACCTGGGAAACTATTTGGGTGAGGAACGTTAAATTTACGCAAGCCCAAAATTTAAGGGAGAATTTTTATAAAATGTTTTATAGATGGCACCTTGATCCACAAAAAATGTCTCGTATGTATCCCGATCTACAGCCTAAATGTTGGAGATGCGGATGTTTGGATGCTACATACTATCATATCTGGTGGTCGTGTAAAAATATAAAAGTTTTTTGGATTAAGATATGGTGGAATATTCAAAGAATTTTTAGAAGGAGGGTAAAATTTACCCCACAATTGTTTTTATTAGGTATTGTTACTGATTGTGATACTAAAGATATTACATTGATGTTAAACTTAATTACAGCTGCAAGGTTGTTAGTAGCACAATTTGGAAGAAGGAATCTTTGCCTACTTTGCAAGAGTGGCTTTTTAAAGTTTCTTATTTGGCGGAAATGCAAAGATTTCGGCCTTCCTGAAGGATCAATCACAAGAGAAGTATGTTGTGGTATGGAGGAAATGGATAGACCTTATACAACATAAGATGGATATTAAAAAATATTATTTAGCTTTTTAATAATTTATATTGAAAAGCCAAATTTTTTTCTTTCTTATTTTTTTTCTTCTTTCCCTTTTTCTATTTTTTTTCCTTTTTTTGTACTTATCTTTTTTTATATATATTTTACTCTTAATTATTTTATAATTTGTTTAAGTAATGTATTTAGATTTGTTTGCAGTTTTATAACTTATATTGAAAAGTTAATCTCTTTCTTATGTTTTTCATGTATTTCTTTTTTTTTTCCTTTTTTTCTGGTATTTATGTTTTTTTTTTGTTATATATATATTGTTGTTAATTATTTTGTAATTTGTTTAAGTAATGTATCTAGATTTACTTATATTTTATATTTTTCTTAAGACTTTTTGAAGAAATTTTAATTAAGCCTATATGCAGCTCTGGAATAGTCGGGGGAGGGAGGGGGAGGGTTGGGGAGGGATGGGGAAAATTGTTTTGTTTTTGTTATTGTAAAATCTTAAAAAATTTCAATTAAAAAAAATGCAGAGCAGGATAAAATGTCTTCTGTTCTCTATGGTAGGTTAGCAGCAAGTCCTCTGAATTTTTCTTTCCAGAAAATCATATAACAGATGACTTAATGATGACAATTCAGGATAACACAGGCCTTTTACTCAATGCTGGGTGGAAAGGCAATCCATCCATTCTTGAATCATTCATTCTTGAATGTTTATCTTCTGTAAAATTTAGTTTTATATGGGTTGAAAGGACCCATGCGTTTCATGGATCTTAACATTGATTAGCATTAGTCTGTTACTGGCATTTTGCAAACATTGGGGGCATTACACTGTGAGAAATGCACTGAAATTGATGTGGGAGGATGGGGCCCCATAAATGTCTCATTTGGTAGCACCCCAATTATTTCTAAAAATGAAAAAGTCAAATTCTGAGGTGGAATGTCTCATTCTAACAATCCTGTGTGCAAGGTTTGTAACTATGGTTACTGCTGAATTCTGAGGAATATTTAATTCATTGCTCAATATAACCATCTTCAGGGAATCACAAGGTACAAGGTTTTCCTCTTGATAATCTTTTATCCTATGGGTACAATTTTTAAAAATTCACTTTTGGGAATCATAAGATGTAGATGGTTCATATATTTGATTTGTTTGGCATTGGTGTAGTATATTGCATGAATCCAGCCAACTGAGGCTTACAGTATTTAATAAACCACAGTTAAGAAAAATAGTTTTTTATAATACACAAAGCTAATCAGCATGTAAAATAACAGCACATTCCTCTAATCAGTCAAAATATAATTCTCAGAGTTGTACAATGATTTAGATTAAAAGAGAAAATATACCTGGGGGCATATGGGAAAATTCATTAAAGCAACTGTATGTCATCCAAGTTACAGAGCAATCCCAGGAAAAATAATGGTTTATTTTAAGATTTTAATATAGGTTACATTTAAGATGAAATACATTGCTGTATTTCACAGTATCCTTTCTCCTTCAAATCTAAAATACTACCTTGCCCTATCACCACTACTGTGTATTTCTTAAACAGTCATTTCAAAAGAGTTCCTCTGCTGCTAGGGAATTCTAAACATTGTCATTCTTACGCAACTTGAGGAAGGATGATTTATTGGACACAAAGTAGAATACAATTTAGGATCTTTTATACAATTAAGAGGTCTGCCACTGAACTACTGGAACATTAAGATAAGGATAGGTTGATGACTTAGAAAGACGTGTCCATTTATATTCAAAAATATTTCAAAAGAGAGACAATGACACCAAAATCCTCATTTTCTAGGCTGAAAGCTAAACTGGACTATTTGCCTCCATACTGAGAATGTCATGTGCATATTTTAATTTAATATAGCATATATTTTAAATATTATTAAAAGTTTGTATCAAAGCAATCTATCAATTAAAAAAACTAATAAAATATCAAATATTTTTGATCAAACATTTCCTAAAAATAAAACTAGATTAACAATGCAGCTATGTCTTCGTGGTTCTAAGTTCTCTTTCACTGGGGATCTATCTGCCCACAATGCTATAACTTGGTATTTCCAAGGTTGAACCATCCATTGAACACTGGACAACTCTCTGATTAAAAATCACCTAGTTCTTTCTGATACTAGAAGTTACAGGAAACGTGGCAGATAAAAAAACTTGATGAAAACATTAGTTTTAGGGCCTCGTTTGATGCCCTCAATTAGCATCCAATGAAATAATTTTCCTGATAATTTCAATGAACTACATAGAGCTGCATTGATGATATCTAGAAAAGCAAGTTGGAGTTGTACATGATTATATCACATGCAAAATTAACCAAGAAAGGGCTCTTTCAGCATAAACACATCTAGTAATAATAATTCCAGTTGCTCCATTGGAGTCTAAGAAGATTGTCTATATAGGTAGTCCTTGACTTACAACCACAATTGGGGCCAGAATTTATGTTGCTAAATGTGCTACCCTGCTCACTCACTCACACACACACACACACACACATGTGATTTAGTGAGTTTATTAATATTCTCCAGCAAGTCCCTTCAACTTGCCCCAAACAAGTCCAGCCATGAGCAAATCAAGGTTAGCCCACAGAGCAATGGCCCAATAGTCCACAAGGCACTTGAAAGCTGCTCAAACAAACTAACTATACCAGACAAACTTAAATCCACCAGG